TCTTCCTCATTCTCCCCAGGCCTGAGCGCATCCGTTACACCCCGAAACACTGCCCTTGCCCTTTCCCTTCTTTCCGCCCTCTTCGTCTCCCTCTCCTTGCGTTTTCGTTCTCGTTTCTCTTCCTTCCTGAGCATCTCCTCGACACCTTCCATACCACTTTGGTGTATACCCATTCCCGACCCGACCCACCACCACCACCCCATAAAACTCTGCCACATGACGACAGCCCAGGTCAGCCCAGATAGCCAATCGTACTGTTGCTTGATCGGGATGTTTACAAAGGCCAATGTCAACGCGGTAGATGCCAAAGCCAAGGACATCGCTCCAGCGCCAAAGGCGGCTGTACCTCCATCGGTTCTCCACGCTTGATGACGTTTTACGAAAAATCCCCAGATAATCAGTGATATTGTGAATAGCAATGAAAGCGTGGCGTTGCAAACGTTTTGCACCGCGTCCGCCCAGTACACGACGTGAGCATTTGAGTGAACCGGGAGGAGTTGCATAATGGCAGAGATGACAGCCAAAGGACCGAGTAGGCAAAGGATCAATCGCTTCTCGAGAGTCGAAGGGTAAAGCAAAGTTAAGAATTGGATGTGTGTGATCTATGTGGTAACCACTTATAAGTGCTCGCCGTACATAAGACATTATGTTCAAAGGCGCACCTGAATAAGGCCAGATGTTGTTGCGTTCATAATCGACCAAGCTGCCAGTTCAGCCGTCGTCCATCCGCCGGTATCCCATAATGGTGGAATGTCCACTTCCAGGTACGGTAACATGTAGGGCCAATTCTGACTCTCAAGCATCGTAGTGGACAGGATGACGCGGACGGTAGCTGTTTGGGATACTAGGAGGGATAGTACACCGGACATCTGGAGGACGAAGTTTACGGGTGCGAGTGGCCAATGGTATTGGGCGGTGAAGCAAAGGTGGATGAGGAGGACGCATGTGAGTGTGAAGACAATACCGGTAAGCAAGACTTGAACCGGTAGAGAATTCGCAAAAGTTGGTTGGTATTTGAGTACTGGGTTGTACGGTAGGCCACTAGATCCAAGTTTGAGCAGTGCGCTCTACGAAACAAAGGCTGGAACAGCCCCAGGACAGAATAAAAACGCACGGGTCACCCTGGCTAGGATTGGCTGAAGCAAACACTTTTATTGCGAGCGTGAGGACCGAGAGGGATGTTCTCCACCAGCCCATCTTCGTTCATGTAAGGGGACCAGACGTGGGTTTGTCGAATCGGCGTCTGGGTCGTACTCTGGGTTATGGCCGTTTCTGTTGATGGAGGATGGATCCCCGTGATCAGAACAGATAGCTTCATCCACAACTCTGCGGTCTTCTTCGAGTCTCATTTCACCGTATTCTCGGCTAGCTACCCTTGCAACCCAATACGCCGATTTTCCTAAATAAATAAATAAAAGCTGGAACCAAGTCAGACCGATCGCCCTCTCCTGGCTTCACTTTGACTTCCCCATTGCCTCTGTGTTGCTGGTTACCCTGGAACTCACGGAAATTCTCAACGCACTCTTGCCTTCGCAGAGGGCGACTTTGCTATCGGGTCTCCCCTAGATTCACCGAAAACCTCGCATTTTCGTCTTCTTTCCGGGTTGTCTGCGCAAAGTAGGCAGAGGTTCATATGGTCTTCAAGGTCCACAGCGGCGAGATGGCCGAGTGGTCTAAGGCGCCAGACTAAGGTCAGCACGGTTTCTGTGCAACACTGATGCTTCCAGCGTCATCTGGTCTTTCGGGGCGTGGGTTCGAATCCCACTCTCGTCATTAACTTTTTCCCCTTTCGCCCCCTGCCTCGTGTTTTCGGAGATACTCGTTGATCATTTTGTCCTGGGCCCGGCTCATGAGCTCTCCCATTCTCGTTAGTACCGTGTTTGACTATTCCCAGCAAAGTCCGATGCTTTATGGTTTTACAGAACCACTTAAATGGGAGATTGTGACTGCCGTTTGCCAGGGCGCTAAAACAAGCAGTTCAAAGTGTATAGACAATCTTCTCCCCGCTTGCCTTGCCCTGCGCCAAGTAATCAAGGGCGACCCCGACGTTATCCAGTCCACCGTCAAACTCCTTAATCACGTTCGGTTTGAGACCTCCCCTAACCAAGCCAGGAAGCTTCTCCCACAAGAACTTGGATAGCACCGCACGTTCCTCCTCATTGTTCTTTGTGTTAACGGTCGGTCCGTACGCGGTATAGATGAATGTTTCTGTGCAGAAGAATTTTAATCGGCCTGGGAAGGCAACGGAAGGTGATCGCACTCACCCAGCCACCTGATATCCTGACGTTTCTCGACTGTCTCGGGATCGGGTTTGTGTAAAACCGAAATTTTGGCCGATTTTTCTTCGGTGATGCTACCCAGAATGAGGGGGTAGGTGTAATCTTCGGAAATTGTGTCATAAACGAGGCGAATACTGCCGTTTGTAGCCTCTTTGATGTTCTTCACGACGTCAGGGTCGTTGTACTATGTTCGCATCGATTAAAATCAGTCAGGGAAGAAGTGAGGGGCCAGTAGCAGTTGCTCACGTCGAAGGCGAGGTCTGCGCCAAAGCTCTTGACGAGCTTGTGGTTGCGTTTGGAAGCGGTTGTGATGACCTTATATCCAGAAAGCTTGGCTAATTGGATCGCGTATTGCCCAACAGACGAGCTCCCACCATAAACGAAGAGCTGTACGTAGGACGTGAGTGCATATCTTTCGGATCGCAAATATTTCACTTACCCAAGTCCCAGCTGCAGGCGGATTCACATCACCAGGTTGAGGAAGTTCGAGGCCGTTTGGGCCGTAAAGCGCGATCACAGACGTATACAATGGGATTCCGATGGTCGCAGCCTCCTCGAAGGTGTATGTTCCCTCGGGGATGATCCACGCGAGGTCAGCGTACACTTTGACGTATTCGGCGAAGCCTCCCCGTTCCTTGTCGACGCCGCCGCGAAGGGAAGCTGCGACCTTATTACCAACCTTCACAGGAACGCGGAGGTTGGGTCCAACCTGGACGACGACCCCAGCGAAGTCGCATCCGAGGATCGTTCCTGGGCTGGTGTTACGTCTGGCGTCTGTTGGGGTGGATGTTAGCAGTCGTTCGTCTCGCTACTAAAGGTGAACGCACGTTTCCAGTCGGTAGGGTTAATGGCAATCGCGGAGACCTTGACGAGGATCTCGTTCTCGCCAACAGTTGGAATAAGACGCTCTTCTGTCTTGACGGTCGTGTCCGCCTGGACGATGACTGCTCGGTGGGTCTTTGGAATTTCGAAGTTAGACATATTGAGGGTTGATTGGAGTCTGGTGAGGGCGGAAATCTATGCAGTTTCTTGCACTGGACTCAGTGAGATCGTTCGTTTATATACCTCACATCCTACCTTATACCCGCTGTTCTCGTGAGAAGATATTGTGAGCTGCTGACGAAGCAACCTCAGAGTGCACTAGGGCCACGCCCGATTGAATACCCCTGCAGCGCTGATCGAGACGAAACGCGAGCTAGAATCACGAATTATCGCGTTTGTGTGAAAACGATGACTTCAGCTTTTCTCATGTGTAGTTCAGCAATCCTCGACTGACAAAGCATGTGAGTACTGGAGGGGACAGCGCCACAAACCGATGGTCAGGGTTGCGGATCTGTGCGGGAGGCGCCCACGGAGGCGTGATGCGACTCGCGGAAATATCAAACTCAGAGTGATCGGTTGCGCCCGGACGGACCCCTCAGGCTCCTCTCCTTGAACTTTTAAAACCGTTCACACTGGAACTCACTCTCGACGTGTGAAGCCATTTTCACAACACCATGGAACTCTCTGGGTTTCGAACGTCTATACATTCCGATGGCGAGCAATTGAAGGAATACTCGATTGAGGTCTCCCCAGATGGGAAGAAGGTCACCTGCTGGATACCCAGTCAAAGTGGAAAGGTAAGGTACATTTGAATACGGGCCAATGAAATACAAAACTGAGACATTGCGAAGGAGTTTGCGGTGAAATACAGGGTCAGGGAATCCTCAGTCATCAAAGACAGGGCAAAGGCGGTGGATCTTTATATGGATGGGCACAGAATGAGGAAGTATGCATTATTGCCAGACCACATGCATGGGAAGTTTAATGGTGCGAGGATCTCGGAGAATGCAAAGCGGCCATTCACTTTTGCAGATATTCGGACGACTGGTGCGGATTTTCTTCCCAGCCCCAACGTTCTGTCTTATCCACTCTACTACATCCTCGGATCATCCAGATGAGGACACAGTCCCTGACGATATCCATGTAAAGCCTGATGAGATAGGGACCATCTCTGTCCAGGTCTTTCTGGTAGAGAATTGGCGCAGGATTGGCCCGCCCAAGGAGTACAGAATTCAAGAACACCCACCAGCAGTGATTGACGAACAATCGAAGAAAGCTGGTGGGCATTGTGTCTCGTAAGTCTGGTCTTTCCAAAAACCTCGAGACTAAGACAAATCTACTATGTAGTCTTGGGGATGAACAAGCATGTGCGGCGAACCCTTGGAGTTACTCCATGGATTACGACCATCAGAAACCAGATCTAGTGTTTGAATTCCACTACCACTCAACGGCAATGCTCCAGGCACTGGGAATTATCCCACCTCCAAAGCGTGGAGCACCCACGGTTATTGACCTGGAGGATGGAGATTTCGAACCGCCTCCCAAACGGCAAAAAGCCACGGAGAGCAATGTCCTTATACAGACCATGCAGGTGAGAGACAGTTGATGCGTTACATCAATACGATCGCCCAACGACAGGTTCGATTGGAACAGACAGAGCTGGAACGGTTGCGAAATAGGGTAGGTGAGCTTGAAGAGAAGAAACCCGGCCCTTCGGGTGTTAAGAAGGAAGCGATGAAACATGATCCTGCCGACATCATCGATCTTACTTGACTTTGAAGTACCAGGTACACTCTTGTTATGACAGTCTGGTGATGCGTGTATACTATATTCAATGTCCGTTTGAGATGGATGGAGGCGATTTCCCCCCATGAATTAACAATTCAGGAAAACTACAACGGCGAGATGGCCGAGTGGTCTAAGGCGCCAGACTAAGGTTACCACAGTTTCTGTGCACCAATGATGTTTCCGACGTCATCTGGTCTTTCGGGGCGTGGGTTCGAATCCCACTCTCGTCATCCCTTTTTCCCGCTCATCCATGCTCTCCTCCCTTCCCGTAAACATTTTTACGTCCACAAAATTTATTCCGCATTAGACTTCATCCGCATCGTGCACTGATTCGAGTCGATTTCTTAGTGTAGGCCGAGTCAAACAAAACTCTTGCACGCAGGCGCAGTGCACTTGAGTCAGTAGCTATGTCACGTGTGACTAACACGCTCCCCTTTGTCCCAATTTAAAACCTCAACTCAAACTCCGTTCCGCTTTGATCTCCTCCGCCTCTCGCTTACCGCACCTCGTCCACGACCCTCTCTCTCTACTCTCCCCCAATACCCTCTTGCGAGATGGTCATTCGAACTCGGCGAGCGGCTCTACGTGATCGCACCCCGGTGACCAACGCCCCCGTGCAATCCGCATCAAAGGCAAAGGGACGAGTGAAGGGGAAAGCCAAGAATATCTCTACGAAGGTTTCCAAGAAGCGAAAGGCAACTTCCCCTCTGACTGACATTGAACTTGAGGATGCACCCGCTGTTGAAGATAAACCTACTCAAACTCACGATGAGATGGAGAAGTCGCAAGAGGAGTTTAGTATTGGTGGGTTCTCGTTTGAGGATTCTCAGCAGTCTGGTGTCGGGCTTCCTGGACTTGAGCTTGGGGAGTCTGTGATTTTACAGTCGACACCAGCACCAAGTTGGCGGCGTAGGCAGCAAACCACACAACGCGTCCCCTCAAAATCGGGTTCGGCGCAGATCATGAAACAACCTGCTGGGTTGAAGACTTCGTCCCCCTTACCACCGTCTTCGCCGATACCAACTTCCCCGTTCCCCTCTTCACGACCGGTCGAACAGGAGCCAGAACCAGGACACGAGCTTGAGCTCATCGAGGAGGCCCCTAGTGAACATCTCAGCGATGATCCTTTCGGTTTCCTTTCTGTCGAGCGGAAGTTGAGAGTTAAGAAGGGTCAACCCAAGCGGATCAACAAAGGCAAAGCTACAGATAGGTCCACACCTACCCCAGAACCTGCGTATGATGACGATGGGATCGAGGACCTGTATGCATCTGAAGAGGACGCTCCGCCACTTCGAAGATATCAAACTCCGCCCCCTCGTCAACCCTCCCCGCACTCCGAACGATCCTCTTCTCTCACCCCATTACAGTCTCCGCATACCCCCTCCACACCGAACAAACGCCACAACAACAAACGAAAACTTGCCAGGTCGAGGGATTCCTCTCCTGAACCTTCTGCTGCACCTACCTCACCTTCGCCATCGAAACCGAGAGTACGTTCGAAGCCTTCCGCGGATGCGACGGAGGCGGGGACGGGGACAAGGGGAAGGACGAGGAAGAAGCGCAAGTCGGAGGAGATGAGGGAAGAGGAGGGAGGGTACGATGAGGAGATGGATCCTTCCCAGATTGCGGAGCATCTTGAGGCGTTGCTCCCAAAACCGATTTCGAAATCGAAAAAACGGGCGCAGGCACGAGTGAAGGGCACACGACAATCGACTCGGAAGACCATGAGGCGGGGCAAGGCTCCTACCCCATCGTCCTCTGAGGATGAATCAGAGCCGTCACCGCCGAAACGACCCACCTCGAAGAAAGGGGGTAAGAAGCCCGCTTCTCGTACTGGGAGGGCGAAAAAGGATAGAGATGAAGAAGGCGAGGATGTCGATTTGGATGAAGTGGAGGTAAGATCTTCCTTTCTGAAACTCAGTACGTTCCTGGTTTTAACGTTCCTTTTGATTTTACAGAAAGCGCGTCAAGAGCGGCTTGAATATTTTAAGAATCTGGACAGCTATCAACTCGCCAAGGAAAACGTTTACGTCGTATGAATACTGTGTTGTGCTCCTTTTCGTTCTCTGAACTCTCGACATCTCCTCGTGTTATATTGCTTTCGCTACCAGCTACCCTCTGTATCATGTTGTATCACGTTTTTACTCATAGGAGAGAACAATTCTCGACTTTCAAGCTTCAAGCTGGAAGAGAACGCTCGAATGTCTGATCGGAATTCCGTTCCGCTTGCGGGTGCATCAAAATCGATCGAAACAATTGCAACTTTTTTCCTGACCATGAAATGGACAACCACAGGCTGAGAACTTGGCTCCAACTTCACCTCGCAACCGACGCATCCGCGGTCACAAATTTACCTTTCGTCCTCAAGAGCCTCACGGAAGATGACTTTCTTTCTCAAGCGCACGTGCAGAAATGGACCATTCGGATTAACTCTTTGATACATTCGAAAGATCCTGGAGCTAGATGGGCAGGTTTGTCAATCGCGCTAAGGACGGCGACACTTTCGAGGGGTATCATGAACGAATGCGCGCATGGATGGATTACTGCTACGCTGCCGACGCTTTTTGTACGGCCCGTTGCAGTTCGTGGTCTTCACAGCTCTAACGAGCCCTCATTTATAGAAAAACGAGACTTTACCATGCATCAAGGCTTGCATCCGTTTGATACGGTTCATCTTTTCGAGCAACGCTGGGCATGCGGAGTTCCAGCGACAGGTCATTCTTCCGAACATTGTCAAGTTTTCTCAAGCGTTGATTGAGATTTCCGGGAAGTATGAGAGCGAGAAGCTCAAAGTGCGTGTAATATTTGATGTTCTGTGGTTTCCTGCCTATTTGCTTATTTCATCTCGAGGTTCTGTGTTTAGAGACCCTCGCTCAGCTAGTCTTACTCTTTCCCTCCTCGCACAAACAACTTCATGCGTCTCTTTCCACGCTTACTCTCGAGTATCTGAACGGTTCATCGCCCGCTCCATCTCCGAAGAAGCTCATGACTGCTGCTTCGAAGCTATACGCTGTTCTTCCATGTACCGGCGGGAAAGTTGGCGCCTCGAATTTGTGGAGGAAATCCGTCGATGAGACTTTGGACTTTACACAAGGCGCACTCTCCTGGCTGAAGGCTGACTTTCAAGGTGTGGACAGCCTGATGTGATCCCACTGGTATTATTTTTCATGATAGAGGGCAGATAATCCGCCGACACAAGAGGATCCCATGATCTATATACCATTAAACCTTGACCGACTCTGCGCTGGAATTACCGTTTTGTGCTACCTCTTAAGGTTTGTTCGTGCGCAAGAACTCTTTCATCGTTAATCCCTAACAAACCCTGTAGTTCTCCCACCCCACGACCCGTGCAAGTCCCAATGGGTCAATTATCCAGATTATGCATCACACTTTTGAGTTGCGATGCAACTGAGCAAGTCAATGAATCGTAATCTCACACTACAACCTTCTGACGGCATTCGAAGAGCGGTGACTACGTGGACTCTTCGCTGATAGATATGAGAGGATCCACCCTTCCGGCTATCTGGGAAATTGCCGCAGATCTGACGGAATGTTTATTGACACGGTAAGTCGACCGACCACTGGCTTCGAATTTACAAGCTGAAGGTGGTCAACTAGATATGCCGTCTATTTACTGCCAAACATGTCGCAGATCTTATCATGTGTTGCTCATCATCTGGAGCGCAAGCGTAGCCCGTATATATCTATACGCTTATATGTCGCAATGATCAACTGACTGGAGCATCAGTTTACATACCTTGCCGTTCTTGAGGATCCTCGTCGCAGCGTGTGCGCACTCTCGTGCCATGTCGAACGCCATCCTCGCGAACCGGTTGGTTCGCGCTATAATTCCCTACCTCACCAAGCCGATCTTGCCGCAATTGGAAACGAGAAACGTCGAGGTAACCGATGCAGGTGGCTCGTCTAAAAGGAAAGGGAAGAAGAGAGCTCGAGGGTACGAAGGTGACGAGGTTTTCAAAACTAACCCTGGGGTTTTGCTTGCTTGGCCGCACGAAGAACGGGTTGTGATGCTTTCTATTGAAGGTCAACGTTTGCTACCATATCTTGTGAGGAGGAACTGAACGTTTTCCAGCGTTGCGGTTGTTGTCACGAGATACGGGGATCTCGCCAGAAGTCTACTCGGTATCATCGAGGCTTCTACTCTCGCTGTTCCTTCACCTCTCGAGACTCCCTCCCTCCCTCATATCAAAAGACCTCACGTTCCACAACAAACTTTCATCAAAACTTCAAAATGTCTGCATCGAACTCGCTTCTACGAAATCCGCGGCGCTGGGGAGGGCTCTGCCATTGTTGATGAACCTCTTCGAACAAAGCGTAAATGTTCCTTGGGATCGTGCGTTTGAGGAATGGCTGATAGCGTGTTTCCTAGGTCAGCGAAAGTTCTGGTATTTTGGATATTCTGTTACATCCGAAGTTACCTCCGCTGGTTCGGCCTTTACCACCTATGGAGAACATTTCGTTGTTCCGAGTGGAGGAGAGTGAGGTTGAGCGAAAGTTGCGGATCATGCTTGGACTGGCTTCGTCTGAGGATCCTGAACCTGTGGTTTCCGCTCAGGAACCGTCGAGGGAACCCGAAAGTACCGCGCAGGTGGTAGAGACAACCCACTTGCCGAGTTCTGTTCCCGATCCTGCTCCTCCGATTCTCGATTCTTCGAACCCGCCAACTAAGCCACCAAATGATATGCAGGTAGACCAAACGAACACCCCACCCATCATCGATGCACCTCAAGACCAGACACCAGTAAAAGGTGTTCCTTCAGTGTTAGATCCAACCCCGTCCACGATCAGACCCAACGAGAGACCGCCTCTGGTATCTGAACCACCTCAACCCCCCTCTTGGAGTCATATCGGTTTCGTCGGTGACGAGGATGAAGAAGAGGATGAGGAGATACCGAGCATCAATATGGAATCGGACTCAGATTAGGGGAACGTAACCATGCCAGAAGTATCGTATTCCGCTGGTTCCCGTGTGTTTGTGCTCAGCATACATTAATTCGTCGTCTATTACTATTATTCGCCCTTGAACTGAGGCGGACGTTTGGCTTTGAACGCTTCCAAAGCCTCAATCCTATCTTTACTGCGCAGCAACGGCTCGTACGAAGCACGTTCGAAGTCGAGCCCAGCTTCAAGTGGGAACTCCATCGCTCGTGAAATCGCCTGCTTCGCCGCCCGAACAGCCAGAGGACCATTTAGGGAAATCTCTCTGGCC